TGTGTGTGTGTGTGTGTGTGTGTGTGTGTGTGTTTTCTTAAGCCGGGCTATTCAAACCTGCTGCAATTCTCCGGTAAACAATGATTCATGGGGCTTAATGCAAATAAACGGATCGTAGACTGCGCGGTTCGCGCACTTTGCAGCCGGCCCGGTGGAGCGGCCAGTACCGGATTTCTCCCTTTTTTTGCAGATCTGCAGAATATGGCGTCCCTGTCCTGTTTTAAAAATAAGCCAGGCTGCCATTTTTGTTTTTCTTTTGTCTGAAAATTTTAATAAAACTGTCTGAGAATGTGGGAGAGGCGGCTGGAAGCAGAGGGGGCACCCGAAGGGTTGGCTTTTTTTCCTTTTCTTTGGCGAGAGCCGCAAGCCTTTCGGGGAGGTGAGACACAATGCAATTGCACTTTAAAGAAAAAAAAAAAAGGAAGCCGCTGGGCGATTTGGGGGGGGAGCTGGGAATTTAAAGTTAACTCCGAAAGTTTTCTTTTCTTTTTTTTTTTTTAATTTTTTTTTTTTTCCAAGGCGGTGAAATGCCGCGAAAGGATCTCGGGGTCCATTTCTCCCCGCAGCCAGTCAGTCGCCTTTGCAGGAATTTTGGGAAAAAGTTAACTGCCAGTTTCCTCAGAGCTGCGGGGGGCATGTGGAGGTTGGGGATGGGGGTTTGAGGGGACCAGGAAACATCTTTTGGAAGGGGCTCTGTAAAAATGGTATTGTAAGGAATTATAGTCTCAGATTTAGGGGAGAGGGCTGGCAGTAGGGGCTCGGAGTGGGGCCAGGGTTTCCGACTAAGCCCCTTGGCATGAGGAAATAATCTTGCTCCCGCATCCTGCCCTTGAGCAACGTGTGCGGGGAGTGGGGCTGTTTCCTTCATGGGTGGCCGGGGTAGGGTGGGGGTGCTTGTATTCGGGAATCCTGCCCTGGGCGCTGGGATGGCTCCGGGAGCCCTTGGACAAGTGTGCTTGGTTGGCAGTTGTAGAACCCCTTCCCCAACCTGGTGGGCCTTCTGGCCCCTGGAGGTAGCATCTGGTGGTGAATGCCCAGGGGCATGGGCTCTTGACTGGGTGCAGGTGGGCAGCCCCAGTGGGTCCTGTCTGAGGGGAAGAGGGGCAGGTGAAATTGTCTGTTGGGGGTGGGGACTCACCTGTTTTACTAGTGGGGGTAGTCTGAGCCTTTCCTCTGTGGTGGCTCCTACCCACTTCTCCCACCCCTACCAGCGCCCTGGCAGCTCCCTTGTTGGAGGCAGTTTGGACTTAAGTGAAGTTCATGAAGTAGCTTGCTGGACAGGTCAGGGTCTGCTGGCTTTGCAAGCTGCAGAGGGGATCTGAAGTCCAGGTCAGGGGTAGCTGGTGCTGTCCAAGGCACCAGGGCACATTGGGCCTGGTCTTCCCTCTGTTGGGAAAGTATCTATCCTGGGGGCACCGTAAGGCTGTCTGGCGCCTGCCCCAGCGTCTCTTGGAGGCGAGACCCCTCTAGCCTCACTCCTGGTCTCTCTCCTGGCTCCACAAGGCAGTGTAAGCTCCCTGAGAGCAGAGTCAGGGGTTGAAGCTTGGGGTTTAGGGCTTCAGGGTTGTAGAACTTGGCATGCCTGGGCCAGAGGGTACCAAGCCAGGCATTTTTCAAATGGAGAAACTGAGGTCCAGAGAGAAGAGACTTGCCAGAGGTCACACTGCCAGTTCGGAGAGCTGAATCAGGGACCCAGGTGTTCAGACTCGCACTTCTAGGCTCTCTCCACTGTTCTCTGGCCCTGACCCCTGGGAGAGTCATTTTGCACAGAACTGGACTAGAATGGGACAGCATGTCTGCCTTCACCACCCCACTCCTTGCCCCTATCGTACCACTCCCTGAGTGAATGGAACTTACGGTATATACAGTGTAGTGCATGGTCTTTATCACACCCGCCTTTCCCAGAAACTCGTCAAGGTGGGGATATGGAACTCCATATTAAAATTTAGAATACTGAGGCTTGGAGAGGTTGAGCAGTGGCAGAGGAAGGCTTACATTCAGGCTTCCAGGTTCCTTGAACAGGGGTGCATTCTCCTAGGTGGACTTTGGTGTGCATGGGTGTGGGACTCCTTCTCACCTTCTAGTTTTTGATCTCTCAAATTCTGCTGACACGGCGATGGTGTAAAAATCTAGAGGCCCTACCCCTATGGAATATCAGAGCTGAAAAGGTGCTGAGAAGTCATCTGGGCTCAGAGAGGGGAAGCCCCTAGATTGAAGTCACCCCCGATTCCGAGTCCCGGCTAGGACCAGAGCCCTGATCTCCTGTCTCCCTTCTGCTGTGAGACACTCAGAGGGAAGAGGGAGCCACTCGACCGACTGCCAGACTCCACTGTGCCCAGGAGAACTGTGACTGCAGGTAGTGACGGGACTGTGAGCACCGTAATAGCCAGCACTTGGTGGAGACGTGGGCTTATCCCAGGGACTGAGCAACAGACTCTCTGCAGCCTTGGGGAATGGATGCAAGATGGCGCCAGATGGAGAAGAAGCTAGTGTGTGGGTGAAGTGTGGACCGGGTCTGAAGCTAGCCTGGCCCCAGCCCGTCCTTGGGCAGGTACTTCCCTGCCCTGCCTCTCTGTAAAGTAAGAGTTGTTCCTTCATCCGTCAGTTTATCTGCCATACATTAGTTTATTCATTTATTGGATTGCTAGGTCATTCCTTTATTTTTTTTTCATTATTCATTCATTAGTTCATTAGTTAATTATTTTAGTAGTCCACCCATCATCCACCTGTCCATCCATCCATCCATCCATCTATCCATCTATCTATCTGTCCGTCCATCATCCATCCATCCACCCATCCAATCCCTGGCACACCTACCCCAGGTTGGACAGCCATGTGAGAGATACAGGTGCGGTCCTCAGGGGCTCCAAAGCCAACAGGGAAAAAGGTATGAGACTGCAGGTGCGTATAGCACTAGTCAGGGCTGTATTTGTGGGTGTCTACAGGAATCCCCAGGAAAGGTTTCTTGGAGAAGAAGAGGCTTACAGATACCAGGGGAGCCCACAGGCCATCACAATGGATCTGGGTCTTGGGGCCAAGTACCATTTGTGAATTGAACATGACGGTTTGCACAGGGTGGTGCATATCTTGTGTGACTTTGGGCACATTCTTCTCCTCTCTGAGCCTTGGTTTCTTGATCTTTAAAATGGGATACTCTCTGTGAATCTCATGGGTTGTTGGGAGTGAGAACAAGAGTGTCTGCAATGTCTCCCAGCCCTGGCCACACATGTGGTAGGAGCTCAGTATACACCAACTGGAATACAAGGATTACTGATGACCAGCCTAGGCCCTACCTGGATTTTGAAAATCATCGTGGTGTTTTCAGAATGAGCCAAATGATCTGGGGACCCTGAAAGCCCTGCCTCAACCATGTCACTCCCCTGCTGACACTCTTCTAATGTTTCCTAGGCATTTCAAAGAACAAAAATCCAAAGTCCTACAAGGGACTGTGGGCCTACAGGCCACCCCTCATTCTCACCACCTCCAGCCACACTGGGTCTTTCTGCACCTTGAATTTACCAAGCCTCTTGGCAGGGCCTTTGCGTTCCCCACCTGGAATGCTTTCCCCTAAATATTTGCATGGCTGGCACCTTCTTTCACAGGTTTTGACTCAATTGTCACCTTCTCAAAGGGGCTTCCCTGACCACCTGCTCTGTAATAGCTTCCTACTGTCACTCTTGGTCATGTCACCCCATGTATTTTTTCTGCAGCTCTTATCAGGATCCCAAATTTTCTCATTTGTTTATTTGCACTTCTTGCCTGTCTACACTGCTGGAACATGCTTAAATCCCATGCAGGTGAGTAGGCAGGTTAGCTCCAGCACGGTGTGGCTGGGGCTGTAGTGGAGGTGAGGAAATGCTGGGGAGCCCAGGTGCGGCAGTGGCCCTGGCAGCGCCTAGGAGATGAAGTGACACTGAGCTCTGTCCTCTCCTCCCCTGGGAGGCTCCGTGCTGTTGTTAAGAAATAATGAGATGATTAAATCACAGGATCTAAGAATCCCAGTCTCTTCCAATCTCAGAACCTTAGCATTGAGCAGCTTTCTGCCTCAGAACCTTTGACACTTGGAGCGTTTGCATGATCTGATCCGGGATTTAGAATCGTACCAAGGGGACCCTCACTGCCTTACCTATTTAGCGGCACAGAGTGCTTACTTTGTGTCAGGTCACATTATAAAGAGCTTTATAAATGTTAATGTATTTAATCCTCATTATGCTCATTTTACAGATGAGGAAATCGAGGCACAGAGAAATTAGGTAACTTGCTGGAGTTCATGGACCTTGTCAGGGGCATCGTGGGATTTGAACCCAGCACTCTGGGGCTCCTCCTTAGAATCACACAGTTGTAGAGGGGAAGCCCAGCCCCACCCACCCCTGCATAGAGCAGGAATCCCCTTCCCACACCCTTGACAAAAGGGCCTCTGACCTCGGTGAGAGTGTTGGGCAGGGGGACTCCTTCGTCCTCAGGCCCCCCAGTCTCCCCTTGTCAGATAGTTGTCACTGCTGGAAAGATTTTTTTAATAAAGTGTCAAGTGCTGCACCTCCCCTGTAAAGAACACTTGGGAAGTGATGTGAATGTTTTGGTTTCCCAGTGCTTTTGACCTTGTGGCTTTGTGACTTCAGTATCCTTTCTCCCAACTGGGTTGTGAGCTCCTTGAGGGCAGCCAGCCTCCGTGCATGGTATTGAATGAATGTATGTATGTATGTATAAATGAATGGATAGGTGAATGAATGAATGGCGTGTACAAAGAACGCTTCCCGAGCGCCTATCTCTGTAGCACTGTGCTAGGCACTTGTTCTAGGGTATTGGACAGGCTTGGTGTACTTAGGGAAAGAGGACAGTATCTCTCCATGTAGCCCCAAGCAAGTCTATATCTGATGCTGTTTGTGTCCCCCATTCTTGAAGAACCCCTCTGAGATCTAAGGTCATGCACTAATTGGAGAGAGGTAGACCTCACAGATTATCCAGTGGAACCTTATTTTGTGCATTGTGGAAAATGAAGGGGGAAGGTAGAGGAGTAGGCCTTATTGAAGGACACTCACATTGGGCGATGCTTTTGCCCAATAGGCTTGTCGCTCCCCGGGTGCCAGCGTGCTGCCACAGTATGTGCCTGGGGTTCAAAGACAGGAACAGGCCTCTTTGGGGAAGCTACTCCCTTGGTAGCCCTGGTCTCACTTCCACAATGGCGGCACACTCCTGGATGCATAGGCTGTACGAGGGCCTAGTGCCTAGCCTGGCACTAGGGTGGTATTTGGGAAGTGGGCGTGCATGGTGGAAGTGGGTTGGAGGCTATGGGGATGGCTTCTTGACACCCAGGTCGGAGGTGGCTTTGGAGGCTAGGTAGGATTTGGGGAGCATACCAAGTAGTGTCTTTCGTGGATAAGGTGTGTGGGGGAGGCCCAGGGATTTGGCTCTGGGGCCCAAAGCATCCTGTCTTGTCCCTTCCTCATCCATGTGGCCACAGAATTCATTTCCTCTGTCCCCACCACCTGGGTCCTTCTCTGAGCTTTGGGCAAAAGCTTTTTGCTCTTTCAGGGGACAGTTTAGCCATTTCAAGTTCCGGGGTTCGACACCTGGCTAGGGTGGGCACATCCCCCAGACACATTCAAACACACACACTTTTACATATAAGGTGTGAGCAAAAGATACGGTGAAAGTTTAAATTAAAAAAATTTATTACAGTAAAAGACACATTGCTATTAATCCCCCTCAAAATACTCCCCCTTGCTTCAAACACTCTTATCCCATCGTTCTTGCCACTTTCTGAAGCAGTTCTGGAAGTCCTCTTTTGTGAGTGTCTTTAGTTGTGCTGTCGTGGCTGCCTCGATGTCCTGAATCAATTCAAAACGTTTACCTATTATTTTTATGGTCATTTTGACTTTGGGGAAGAGCCAGAAGTCACACGGTGCCAGATCCAGTGAACAAGGTGGATGAGGACACACTGTTGTTTTTATTTGACAGAAATTGCCGTACCAGAAGCGATGTGTGGCATGGAATGTTGTCATGCTGGAGGATAATGGATGGCATACTTTAAAACACCTTCTCTCAACCGTAGCTTACACCTGACTGACTGCACCAAACGAGTTGAAACTTGTCACACACTGTTACTAAGGTTCGATGAGCCACTTACGGTATTGAAGATCCCTGCCTTTCCATTGGCTGGCACTCAGCAGCAATATTCACCGTATTTTGTGATCACAGCGGAAAGCCTCCGTGTCACACATTACTTCTGGTACGGCAATTTCTGTCAAATAAAAACATTACAATGTGTCCTCATCCACCTTATTCACCAGATCTGGCATCGTGCGACTTGCTGGCTCTTCCCCAAAGTCAAAATGACCATGAAAGGTAAATGTTTTGAATCAATTCAGGACATCGAGGCAGCCACGACAGCGCAACTAAAGACACTCATGAAAGAGGACTTCCAGAACTGCTTCAGAAAGTGGCAAGAACAATTGGATAAGTGTATTCAAAACGAGGGGGAGTATTTTGAGGGGGATTAATGGCAATGTGTCTTTTACTGGAATAAATTTTTTTAAATGTAAACATTCACTGTATTTTTTCATCACACCTCGTATTCCACCCGAGATGCCCTGAAGTGGGTCAGCAGGAGCCAGGAGTCAGGAGGCATGTCTGCTGGAGTGTGCCTCCACACACATGATGCACACATCACACAGGCATACATGCGCTCCTGCCACCCACAGGATTACACACACAAGTGGATATCTGTGTGCACCCTCCCAGGAAATGACAAACAGCTGCGCGCCTCCCCCTCAGCATGTACTTTCACATGCATGGTACACACCAGGTTGAGTGTCTGCACACAGGTGTCCTCGTGCACATGTGTGTTTTTCCATGCAGGTGCATTTGCATGTGCACATTCACAGACACCTGTGTCACCTCACATTCTGAATGTTTGTGCACGCGATCCCTCAGGCACACCCTTGCACTCGTGTGTGCCCACATCCTGCCTGGACCTGCTTGCAGTGGCGGAGCAGGCAGCTCGTTTCCATCTCCTGCCTTCGTCCAGCAGTATTTCTTGAGCATTTAATAAATACCAGGCTGTATGCTAGACGCTGGGGATAGAGGTGAGCAAAACTGACGTGGGCCCTGCCCTGGTGGGGGAGACAGACATAAAGAGATCACACAAATGACGATGTGATTATAGATTTGGGTAAATGCTGGGAAGGAACTACGTTTCTGTGATGAGGGCTTCCTGTAGCTTTGTGCTTTTAGGTTTACTGTCATGAGGAGCAGTAATGGTGTGTGCAGGGGCAAAGGTGCTTCTGGGAGGAAGTGGTATCTGAACTGCGGTTGGAAGTTTTCCAGGTGAGGGCATTCCAGGCCGAGGGAGCGGTCTGGGCAAAGGCCCTGAGGTGGGAAATCGAGGAGTATGGAGAAGGTGGTAAGCGCCAGACAAGACCTCGAGACCTCGGGGAGGATGGAGGAGACCAGGAGGTAGGTGGGGCCTGGTCTGGCAGGGCCAGTAGTTAGGTCTTCCCTGGCCCCTTTACCCCTCCCCACATGTCCACCCCTGGTGCTCCCCACCACTGTCCCTGACCAGCCCAACCCTCCCTGTGCT